CAAGTACTTTAACCTCCCTGGGCCTCAGTTTCCTCATCTATACAATGGGGCAATAATAAGTACAAACTTGTTGAGTAGTAGGCTGTATTAACTTAGGTAAAGCGTGTAGACTAAGGACTGATACATAGTAGGCTATCAAAAATGTCAGGCATTTTTCCAACCTTAGATGATCTGGACATTCAGGAAAAAGAAAAATCTCCTAAGTTTTACCAACCTTCCCTCCTACAAGGCCAGTCTGTCCCAGTTTACAAAGCCCTTCTGGTCCGCCATATGCAGGCTGTGCCAAGAAGAAAACCAAAACCCAACGAAGGGCAGACAACCACCCCAGGTCACACAGGAGGGTGGTCGAGCTAGGCCAGGCCAAGTCTCTTGCCTTGCAGCCAGTTCACCCTCAGCGCCTTTCTGGTTTCCAGGGCCTGCTGGGCTGCCCTCTGACCCTGGCCCCCTGGGAGCCTGATCCCAGGACTGTGGGGTCTGTAAGTCTGGTCTGGATTAGACACGCTGAGAAGCAAAAGCTGGCCCCCCCAGCTGGCTGCCTGGCAGGACCCGGGCTACAGCTGCTGAGGCTCACAGGGACATAAATCATGGTGGCAGGAGGCTTGGGGGCTGGGACCACCTTAGCCTCTTCAAGGGCACAAGGGCCTGAGAGTCATGGACAGGGACGCCTGGGTCTACTGAGGGTATTTTCCATCTTCTGTTGGAGCAGCTGAAGCAAGGGCGGGTCGAAGGGGGCCAGGAGACCATCTGGCAGGCCTTACATCTTAGTGAGCCAAGATCTCAATTTTTAACTTTTTCTTCTGCAATCATTTACATACATACAGAGACGTGACAAAAGTAGCTCAGAGAACTCCTATAACTATTTACCTGGATCCACCAAGTTTAAATTTGTGACATTTGCTTAAACCTTCTCTCACTCACACACGTTATTTTTTTCTGAACCATTTGAGAGTAGGTCACCTCCATCATATTCTTCTGCCACTTCATCGTACTCCTTAAGGGTGTATTTCTTAAGCACAAGCAGATCCTCTTACATAACCATACCGTTAGCAAATTCAGAAAATGTGACATCGACACGATACTTTTATCTATTGTTCTTATTCCTATTTTGTCACGTGCCCAATAATTTTCTCTATTGCATCTCCCCCCTGCAGAACAGGATCTAGTCCAAGGTCGTGTGTTGTATTTTGCTGTCCAGGTCTAGACTCTTGATGTCACGTCCACATGAAGTAAAACTCACAGTAGCAGGATATGCAGACAGGGTTGAACAAAGATGTTCAACTTTATGTGAATGCCCTGATGGTTTTATAAATCCTCCGTTTAATGTTCTCATGATAATGCATCGTACTTGTGACTGTGTAGGTACTTACAAGTTAACTTACCAAATATGCCATAGTTTTTGGAATTTTGTGTTGTGGTGTTTTTGTATTTTAATCTGATAGGAGCCTCATAAAATGGAAGTAGCCTGGGCCAATGAAGGAAAAAAATGAAGTGGAGTAGCCCTGGGCTGGAGGAAAGGGCCTTGCATTCTCAGCCCTGCTCAGTTCCAAATGCTGTGTGGCTGTGGCCTATTGCTGTCCCTCTCTGGGCTTCGGTTTCCCCATTGCTATTGCTGTGGGCTACCTCTGAGGCCTCTAACTTGTAATTGTCTTTTGGAAGGGAGCCCTGTGTAGCAAGGAGGAAGACATTAGTTCCTGGAGGCCTAGTAGGGCTGGGGACTCACTGGGTGACCTCAGGCAGCTTGCTTTCTCTGTATTAGCTCAGTCTCCTCGTTGCAATGGGTTCTAGATCATCCTTGCTCCTTGTGTCTAAAACGATTTGGGTGGAGGGTGCAACCTGGAACTTAAACGTTCCCTTCAGGGTCCCAGGTAGCCTGTCTGAAGTTGGTCATCCACCCCCTCAACCCTGAGTTTCTTCTCCCCAAGCTCCTTTACTCCTCTGGCTCTGAGTCACCCTCACTCAGGGAGCCTGGAGAAGCCTGGCTGGGCTGGCCCATTCTGAAGGCAGAAAGTATGTGTGTTGGGGGCAGGGGTGTTAGACAAATGGCCCCTAGAGGTACTGCTCCACAGCTGTGTCTCTCCCAAGTCACGTGTTTGGGCTGGCCTTGCAGCTCACAAAGGCTCATAGACATTAACTGTCCATTACCCAGGAACTCAAGGAAGACAGCAAGCTGCAAAATGTGCAGAATGGAACACTACGCAGGCGTGAAAAATATGAAGCAGCTCTTTGAACACTGGAGAGTTGAATTATGTAAAAAAATCCAAGTGCAGAACAGTGTGTAAAAATGCTACCACTTGTGTGGAAAAACAATACATATGTGACTTGCCCGTATCTGCAAAGACTGTCTCTGCAGGAATCCCCAAGACATTGTCTCTGAGAGCTGGAACTGAGTGGCTAGGAGGGACGGACACTTATTGTCAGTTTATTCTCTTTGTGTCTTTTGAACTGTGAACTCTCTAAGTGTATTATCTATTTCAAACGAAATATAATTGAAAGAACCCAGTCTGAGAACAAGTACGGGAGTGGCTCCTGGGATGCTCCTAATTGCATTTCTTGATCTACATGCAGGTGTGCTCAGCCTGTGACAACTCATTGTGTTGTGCACTTAACAGCATGTGCACTTTACTGCATGCATGTTATACTTTGGTAAAAAGTTTTAACTCAGTATGCGGTAAATGATTGTTTAAGTGTATGTGTATGTTTCACAAAAACTGCGGGATTAGTGTTAACTGGTTGTCTTTGGGATAGGTGACATTTCTAGGGTATTGTAATGTTTTGTTTTGTTTTGTTTTACAATGAAAACATAAGCAGAGAAACCTATAAATACTTTTTCAGAAACAGTAATCAGTGTAGAGCATTTCCGAAGGACACACAGGAAACTGCTAACAGCCGTTGCCTTTGGGGAGGAGCCTGAGGGAGGTATGTACTTTCACTGCCTACTATTGGATACAATTTGCATTATTTACCCAGTGCATAAATGGTCTATTAAAAACAGTTTAACAAGGCAAAACAAATACTTATCATTCTGCCCCAGCTGTTCTTGCTGGTTAGAGATCAGGCCAAGGAAGCCCAGAGAGGTCAAGCAACTTCTCAAAGGTCACCCAGCAAATCTGGTGGCAGAAACGGGCCTCTAGCCAGAGCACCCAAGTGTCTGTTCTGCCCCCACTCCCACGTTTCCTGCCATTGACGAGGTCACAGTCTTTTTCCTGTGGCTTTGCCAGGGGCTGCCTAAACCTGGACATGGGTAGGCGCGGGGAGTGAAATGTGCTTTCCTAATTAGCTCCCAAAGGGGAAGAGCGACTGCACTGGGACACAGGATAGGAACACCAGTGTCCCTGGAACATTAGGCAAGCAAGGTAGAGGGCACTTGGTAAGCTCTCCTGGGCAGGACCTGGGCCCCTTGGGGCCCTCCTTCTTTCATGTCTGATACCAAAGGGATTAAATGTGGTTATTTTTTATGGCCCATTCCAACCTGGACTGGCAATTCTGGCGAACCCCTTGTTCTTCTGGGGCCTTGGTTTTCATCTGCGAGGCAGACAAGATGGGTCTGGCCCACCCCTGCGGTGTCTGGCACAGTGAGGGTGCTCGGTAATCTGGTGATGTGCAACACGGGCAGCCCCACTTCAGGCTCAGTCAGATGGTCAAATGCTGCCAAGTGGATACAACCATGGACTCTGGAGCCAGGCTTCAGGAGGTCAACACTAAAAAAAGGTGTTTGTCAAATAAATTTAAAAATAAACATGTAAGTATACCTTGAGGAAAGGGTGCTGCCTGGCCCTGCAGCCTCTCCTGGCCCTCTCCCTGCCTTCTCCTCCTTCCAGACTCCCAGGCTTCTCTGATCCTGGCTGTACAGGGACTGAGCCCTGGCTGGAGAGCCAAGAACTCTTGGCTCCACCGACCAGCTATCCCTCTTACTATCTTGGCTGAATCTGTGAAATGGGGAAACACCAGCCCCCACTTCCCAGGTCTGCTGGGAGAATAACGGGTCGCAGGGCCGAGCATTCCATCTGCGGCATTTACAGGCCAGCAGAAGGAACTTACTTTAGGCTTTAAAGGTGGATAGACCTCACACTGTCACCCTGCCACATGCCAGCCACACACCTTTAGGTGTCATCGTTTCTCCAAACCATCTTAGCTAAAACAGGGATAAGAATATCCCCTTTTAGCACATGCTCATTTGCACATGTGGAAAACTGCCTACACAGACCTATTTGTAAAGACAGGGATAACAGAATGGTTAAAGTACAGGCATACCTTGCTTTATAGCACTTCACAGATGCTGCATTTTTTTGAAGGCAAGACCCTCCACCAAAAGATTATGACTCGCTTTATCGCGATACTCACTTTATTGCGGTGGTCTGGAACTGAACCCATGGTATCTCCGAGGTATGCCTGTATGGTACATTCATAATGTGGAATAAGCAGCTACTAAAGGAATGAGGAGACCCTATATCTCTGTGTTCTGATTTGAGATGACAGCCAAGCTTGATTGAGGAAAAACAGGAAACAAAAAAAGGCAAGGAGCAGAAAGCATGTGTAATGTGCTACATTTGAAGAGTAATTGATAGGGAATAGGGACCTCATGAAACACTGGTAGCTGAGTCTGCCTGCAGGAGAACTGGTAGCTGGAGGACAGGAGATAACTGTTGGTGATACCCTATCACCAACTCTTTTTCCATATACCCTCTTGTACCTTTTGAATTTTGAACCATGTGAATGAATATATTCCTTATTCTAAAATAAATAAAATTAAGGTTTCTTTACCAACCACACCAGACAACTAACAGGTGTTCAAGACGACTGTGAGGGAAGTTTAGTTATCTTCACTTCTGCAGAGGGGTCTTCCTGCCTTTCCTCAAGCACCCCCCTTTCCAGGGCACAGGGCAGCACCTGTGATGTCTGTGCCTCTGCCAAGGCCCAGGAGAGGGGTCGTCTCTGACCTCTGATGTCCCCAGGCCCCTCCTTTCCTCAGTTGGGAACATCTTTTATTTAAAAATACCTTTTATTTTAAACCCACCAATTTCTCTCTCTCTCTCTCACACACACACGCACACACTCATGCACAGACATGCACACACCCTTTGTCACCAACAGTCTTTGTTTTTCCAAAAGTTTTGCCTTGTCTCTGACCAGTCAGAGCTGGGGCCAGCTGGATGGGTCTTCACAGCTCTCCAGGGTGGAGTGGAGATGTCCTAGGGGGCCTGCCCAGAGGGTCATGGGCCCAAGCCATTGTCCTCTGGCTTGCACAAAGGAGGGATAGGATTGGCTCCTGGGATCTGTCTTCTCCCTTGTTCAACCAGTGGCTGGCCTCTTGCCTCTTTTTCCAGGGTCCTGCTTGGAGCAAATACCACAGGGGTCCAGGCTCATCTCCGCGGCACTCGAAGGGGGGCCACCCCCCTCACCTTCAAGCAGCTGCCCCCCAGATCACGACGGCCACCCTATGAAGGGGGGAGAAAGAGGTATTAGGAGGTTTGATCAGATGACCATGAACATTGAAACTAACCTCTATGTCCAAAAATAGGGGACTTAATAAATAATCACAGTTAGCCACACAGTAAAGTTCTCTGCAGCACAAGGCGGAAGAAACTCTTTATGGACAGAGAGGAAATGATGGCGACATAACATTGTTTAAGGGCAAAAGCAAGAACTGAGAGAGAGGGCACATAAGAAATTGCTAATGAATTTCCTTAGAGAAGAGTAATTTGATGACGGGGAGACAAAATGGGAGGGAGGCTTTTTTACTTCCTTTGCTCTTTTTTACCTTTTTTGTTTCTTCCCCACGTGATTTGTTGCTTTAAAAAAAATTGAATACATTTTAAATCATATTTTATACCGAAGGGCAAAACAAACACCACAGTGGTTCTCCCCACTGCCCAGCTTATGTCCAGTGACTTACTCATCGACCTCAAAAGTAGACTATGGATTTCTGGCCTCCCTGTCTTCTTTCAGGGTGTTCCTTCGACCAGGAAATATGCTCTCTGGTCCCGTCTCCCTGTGAAGGTTTCTCTATTCCTACAATTGCCTAGCGCTTCCTGTCTTTCCTGGGACATTCCAACAGGATAACTCAGAAGAGTAAGACTGGTTTTTCTTTGTCCCCCATCAGGCTGGGACCTGGGGGAAAGTTCTTCACTCTGTGACCCCAGTTCCAGCCCAAGGCCTACATGGAGCAGGGGCCAACAGATGCTGCTTGAATCAGTGGTGCTCATTGGAAGAGGAGCTAATGGTGGCAAGCCCTTGAAGCCACCTGTCCTTTTACCCTGCAGAGGCAGTCTCTACCCAATATTCGGAGATCCGACAGTGGGTTTCATCCTCGCTGAAAGCCAGTGAGGTCACAGACATTAAAGCACTCCCACTTTGGAGGCCTCAAGCCATTGAATGACTGGTCCAGAGGCACCGAGCCAGTTGGTGAAAGGGCTGGGCTGGAAATCCATGTTGTCCAAGTTTGTCCTGTTTCCAAGACCCAATGGTGTCTGACATCCCACTGTAATTGCTCACCCCCTAAGCCTGGTAAGGTGATGGGACAGGCATCTTTCTCAGCCAGCCAGAGCAATAGCTGACCATCTGGGAGCTCTGCCCCCTGCTCCCCTCCGCCCTTGGGCCCAGGTTGGGGCAGATCCATCCAGATGTGAACCCAGCCTCCCTCGAGGCTTTCTGGGCCCAGGGACAGCGTGTTCATTCACAGGCAAGGCTATTTTGAGGGCTGAGGCCACAGTCCCAGCAGAGCCTGGGGCTTGGGCTTCTCAGACAAACTCTGGCTTGAGTGTCTGAGAAGGGGGGTTTGAGGGTAGGAGGAGGGGTGTGGGAGAATGGGGTATAGTGTTGAGGATGGGGGCTAGAAAATCAGCCTCCCACTCTCTCACTCTGTGTCCTCAGGGACAGGGAGAGCCACCTCCATCCCAAGTCTGGCAGTCATCGACAGACCTTGGTTCCAAGAGAATAATGGGACTGTACACCTCCCTGAACCTCAGTTTCTTCATCTATAAAATGGGGACAAAATAATTCTACTTGCCAGCCCAGGGTGTAGTAAAACGCAATTGTAGCTGTGAAAGAGGCGTATAAACTGCCATGAGCACTTCTAAGAGGCCCTGAGTAGGCCCAGCTTTTTTGTCTCTTAGGAACTCAGCACCAAGGGCTCTGGGAAGCACCAGGGTTAGGAGTTGGGTCCCAGTGAGACAGATCTGGGCTTCAGTTCCTGCTCTGCCTTGGACTACCTGTTGGACTTCAGGCAAGTGATTTCACCTCACCGAGCCTCGGTTTCCCATGTGAAAAGTGGAGTTACTGTGAGAATTATACACGTTAACGCAGGTAGAGCCCTTAGCAGTGTCAGGAACATAGTAAGTGTTCCATGAATGTTCATCAGTATTATCATCAGCATCATCTGGTAATGTTGCCTCCTCGCCCCACTGCCCTCTGTGCCACTTCTGTTTCTGAGCTGGGTACATACACTAACTGCGGAGGGCCTTATGAGACAATCCTACCCTACTCTCACCCTTAAGTGACAAAAGGGGAAACAAGGCAGAGACAAGAACCCTTTTTCCATTTTCCACTTGCTATTTCTGCTACGGAGGGCCACCCTTAGCCTCTCCTTACACAGGAAGATGTTCCATGGAGATCCCAACCCCGGAGCAGACAGGTAGGAGGGAGATGGTAGCTCACAGTGAAGGGATAGGGTCTGAAGCCTTGGAGCTATCTGGCCCCCAAAGCTCAGAAGGGAGCCCCCCAGGAACTCTCCAAGATAGTTTTCTTCCAGTTGAGTCTTCGAGGGGCCAGAGCTGGCCAGGATTGCCCCTTTCACCTATTCCCAGAGGAGCCTGTGGGGTTGAGAGCACAGCTTCTGCAGCCAAATTTGGCTGGGTTCTTGGTCCCATAGACAGATTCCAGGGAAGCAGCCAGATCCAGACGAGGCCCGATGATCTGTGGGACTGACCTGAGACTCACAGAGAAGCCGCCCTGCCTACCTGCTGTGGGGGTGGGCATGTGACAGACAGACATTCTCCCCCAGGCCTGTAGTTACAGGGCTCTCCCACACTAATCTTTCCCACCTCTCTATCAGGCAGGCCTGGGTTAGAATCCTGACTCCATCAAGGGCTATCACTGACCCAGGGACAGCATCTCTAAGCAGGTAGGGATAAACAGAGCACCTCCTTCCCTGGTTGCTGAGGGTTTTAAAAATAACGTGTGAAGAGTGCTTAGTACAGGAAATCAGTGATCATCCAGACTGCTGTGATTAATGTCACTGGCCAGTCTCTGCCTCTCTTTTGTGCTCTGCCTCCTTCAACATCTTCCCTTTTCCTTCTCTAGGCCATGTTATCTGACTCCCGCACTCTTGCCATGCCCTTCTCCTAGAACACCTGTACCTACCCCCTCATCTGCCTGCTTCTATTCCTAAGCATCCACCAGGAATTTAGCCCCTAGGTTGGGGACTTCCTTTGGGTTATGACAGTCCCTTTGTGTACCCCCTCCCCACCATTAGACCACAGTATCCAGGTCCTCATCTCCTTGCCCTTGGCCTTGACACCACACTGGGAGTTCCTGATTGTGGTGGGTGGAGACCCACAACCTGCTTCTCTGGCAATGCTCTCAGAGCCAACGCAAGGCAGCTGTTGGGTAGTTAAGGTTTGCTGAACCCAATGAATGGGTGAAAGGTGGTCAGGGAATATCACTGAGGGCCCGGTCAGCCCTTCACACTCCAGGCTGGACACTAGAAAGCCCACCTCAGCTTTCCAAACCTGGAACACTGACTGGGCCATGGCTGGGAGCAGCAGGGACTCTCAAGAGAGTGCAAGTCTAAGCCTAAGAAGACTGATTTGGGGAAACTGAGGCAGCCAGGCTGTGAGTACGATGAGCCAGAAGGGAGGAGTCTGAGGCTAGGATACAAAGGCTTCCCCAGGAGAGAGTGAAGCAGGGGACCTAGGGCAGCCAAGACAACCCGAGACTGGGCCTGACTCCAATCTCCCACACCGTTTCACTTTCCAAGTCTGTGGGCCAGTCTCAGCCTCAGTTTCCCCAGATGTAAGTGGTAGCTTCTGGAATCCAAAGTTTTCACACAGACCAGCTTCTCTACTGTAGGAAAAGCCCAGGCCAGAAGCAGGAAAGGTGGAGGATGAAGCAGGATCCTTAGGGCCTGGGCAGGAGGAGAACCAACTTTCAGCCAGGAGAGCCCCCTTGGCTACCTCTCCTGCTACCCAGCCTCATCCACCACCGACCAGCCTGCTTCTCATCCTTACCCAGGACAGACCACAGGAGCTTTACTCCAGCTCTGCCCAGCTGACTCAACAGTGCCCTCCCCCAACACTGAGGGCTGGGTGACCTCAGGGGACTCCATTCTTCACTCCTACTGCTCATCAGTTGGGTACCTCAGGCTCTTGGGTGGGGGCAGGTATGCCCTTTTCTTCTCAGTCTCCTGCCCTTAGATCAGGTCTTGGATAGGGGACAATTGTTTCAAGGTCGAGGTAGCTCAGAGACACACATAACCAAGCAAGCCCAGAGCCTGCCTCTGGCTTCCCAGCTGAGTAAATGCCGGCATTTACTCTCTGAGCCTCAGAGTCTCATCAGTGAACTTCAAAGCCTCATCAGTAATAACATGGGCAGAATCACTACCTGCTTGATGACCTTGTGAAGGAAAAAAAAAAAAAAAAGACCAGGAGCGCATCTCGGTACAAAGAGCTGAATAAATGATGGCCTTTGTTATTATTTCCTCATGCTCTCTTCCCAGCACACCTTTGGTTAGTTGGGGTAGGAGGGGGCGTCCTTCGATGAGCAGTCTGCATCTTCTAAGCCAAGCGTGAGCTCTGGGCTTTCCTGTTCCCCTTTTGATTGGGAGACATTAAGCGAGTTCTGTTCCATACCAAACCCTGGACTTGGAGCACCGCACGCCCGACGAACTCCACGTCGCGTACCCCTCTCTTCACCTCTCTCTTCTCCGCCCTCTTTTGCGCCCTAAAAGGCCCCGTCCCCCCCTTACCCCTGACGCCACGGCCGCTGAGCCGGAGCGCCGCGCACTCACCCCCTTGCGCTGGTTGCTGAGGCAGAAGGTGCAGATGGAGCGCGGCTGGCGGCCGCCGTCGGGGGCTGCGGGGACGGCGCTCTTGGCACTGCCCGCGGCTCGGAAGCACGGCTGCCCGTCGTCGGCCGCGTCGCCCAGCAGCAGCACGTTGGCCAGGTGCGCGATGTAGCTGGACGCCAGGCGCAGCGTCTCGATCTTGGACAGCTTACGGTCCACCGGCTCGGTGGGGATGAGCGTGCGCAGCGCCGTGAACGCCGTGTTCACGCTCTGCGTGCGGTCCCTCTCCCG